TTTTCATTATGCTGCCATTTTTCCGTTTGCGTAAGTCCATCCGTTCCTGGGTCAATGAGCCATTTTGGTCAGTCCTACTGCAATTTTCAACTTGTTGAGGTTTCGTCGCAATGGTTTTTTCCGTGGTGGGTTGCTGGCCCTACGCACAACCTCGGCTGTATTTCTATACCGCCCATCGGGGACTGCGGCGGTGCAGGTGCTATTAGCCAGCAAAAGCTCCCCTGAGAACCGTCCCACCATGGTTGAACCTGCCAGGAACAGGGGGGGCCTCGCGGCGCTACGCCGATGGCTCACCAACCTGCTCCCGGTGGTATCGCAACCCAGGGTCATTGCTATGGCTGTTGCCCGGGGAATACCGCTAGGAGGTTAGCACTCTGACTTAATCCCCTGACGTCTCCTGAACACAACTAAGTCACAATTCGTCCACATTAACTGTCTGGGGCAGGCTAATGCACCGCGTGATCAAAGAAATCCATTGAAAGCCCCCCTCGGTTCATCTCTGCGAAATATTTACGATTAGAAGGGCTGTTTTTATGGTTATGGAGCCACTTCTTCTTGTAGCTTTGTGTGGATGGGTAATTGGGTTAGCCGGATTGACAGATAGCTTTATTTTACTGGTGCCAGTCGGCTATACCCTGAAAGGGTAGTCGTCATTATTGTAGTTCTACACTCACACTGGGACGCTACTTAATTACACACTTGTGATAGATGTATACATTGCTACAGTTGCTACTGAAGAAGTGAAGCAGAACTCATATACAGTGTCATTTTTCTCCGTGGTTCTCTTTTCTGGCAAAATATATCTTGTACAGTAAAGTGGTTCCAAATCGATTAAACATTGATGTGATTGATATCTTTGACGTATGCTTTTGTCATTTCACAGACTAGCTTGCACAGATCGACTTTAATCTGCCTTCAGAATGAATGGTTAGATACAGTGCACCATATGTCAGTTCTTACATAAAACTTGCATAAAAGAGATTGATCGCTGTTTTACTATTGGCTGCTCCATTACAAAACATAAATTGGCAGGTAATCAGGGAATGGCTTCAAAATAAAGGGGAAGGGGATTTGTTAAAGGATCTTCTACTTAAGACAATGAGCCAGCAATGGAATGGGTCAATGGGGGGGGGGAGTTTCCTGGCAGACCCTTACTAGGTACTAGTACATGTACCTAACCATATCAAGTAATAACTAGAAAGGTAACACTTTTGAAGAAAATGCATATGTCTACCTTCACATGGTCTAGGATTACAAACTTCTGCTTGTTTTATTCTTTTTCACAACCATATACACATGGTGGCCAGCCACTCCGACTCTTGTCCTGCCACCTGCTACATAATGTAACCCAACACCACAGGGTGTCTGATACTGCTCTAGTTACAATAGTGACAGCCATTTGGTCCAGGTCATTGACCTCATTTCTTTGAAAGGGAAGAGTAGGAAACTAAACAAAAAAAGTGCATACATGTGTTCATTTTCATTCTGCAAAGGTAAACATTATAACTGGGAAAGGATTTAACTTTACCCCAAATACCTGTAAACAGATGGCAATCTGGCAGATTTGCTAATTCTACTGGTAGATAGAGCCTGTCAACAG